TACTGCTAATGTTACAAACACACCGGGTGAAAATGCTCCTTTCCAAAACTACTTTCTTTTTAAGTCTAAATTCCTCCTTCAACTCTGCCTCTTTAAAGGCACATTCAGAGACGATGCTGGGTATAGACAGCAAAACACAGGAAACCCCAAACGGGACCCTTTCCATGAGCCGATTCCACATGGGAAAAAGAGCTCATCACAGACACCATCTGAGACACGAATGCACCCGGCCGGTCCCTGCTGTTCACCCAGCTCTGGCTGCTGGACTGAGCGGATGAAGGCACACTCTCCAAGCCTCAGCTCCTCAGGTTAGCATGAATCTCTGGAGCCACCCTGAGACCCACCAACTAGAAACAGTCTGACAAAAGCTGGCGTGCTCTAACACAGGCCCTGGGCACACTCCCGCCCTAGCTTGCCCCAGTCATGGGCCCCTCGCAGCACAGCCCTAACCCTTCATAGATGACAAGAGGGTGCTCTGTGGGGTTGTTTGTCATCACTGTCGTCATCACCCATGGAAAGAAAACCCTACTCTGTTTTGAAGCAGCCCTGGGGCTTTCGTTTGATGCTAGAATAGATGGCTTGGGTTTTTTTTGTTTTTTTTTTGAGTTGGAGTCTCACTCAGTCGCCCAGACTGGAGTGCAGTGGCTGTTCCCAGCCACTGCAGCCTCGCCTGCTGGGCTCTGGCGATCCTTCCACCTCAGCCTTCCGAGTAGCCGGAATTACAGACATGTGCTACCACGCCCGGCTGATTTTTTGATTATTGAAGCGATGAGGTCTCACTACCCAGGTAGGTCTCGAACCCGCGGGCTCAGGCAATCCACTCACCTCAGCCTCCCAAAGGCGCGGGATTACAGGCTGAGCCACCAAGCCCGGCTTTTTTTTTTTTAAGTCAAAGTTGTACTCTGTCACCCGGGCTGGAATGCAGTGGTGCGACCACAGCTCACTGCAGCCTCAATATCCTGGGCTTAGGTGATCCTACCTCCTCAGTCTCCTTAATACGTAGGACTAGGACCTAAGCACATCACCATGCCTGGCTAAACTTTTGATTTTTTTTGTAGAGATGAGATCTTACCGTGTTGCCCAGGTGAGTCTCTAACTCCTAGGCACCAGGGTGACCCTTTTGCCTTGGCCTCCCAAAGTACTGTGATTACCTGGCAAAATTTTGTTTTTTATTTTTATTTTTTTTTTGCAGGGTAATGCTCAGAAGAAAAATTTAGGTCTTTTTTTTGTTTTGTTTTTGTTTTAAATCGGGGGGTTCTAGCAAGTCACCTGTGGTTTCTCTGCCGGTTTCTCAAGTTTTCACAACAGAAGCATCATTCCATTAAACTCGAAACCAACTCTAAACTCAAACCATGAAATTCCATCAAATACCACTGGTTTCACAATACAGTTTTTTCAATTGCAGCAAGACAGTAGTACCATTCTTTGAACCCCCATGGGCCTATCTGAAAACTCTGTGCAGGGTGTAGGAAGACATAGACGCTGAACAGGTAAAATAAGAGTCCTTGGGAAAAGAGCTCCACACATGTTTCCCTACAAAGCTCCTTGTAGCATCAGGACATGGCTAACAGAGGTTCTGGCACAGGAAGGGGGAGGAGGCATTGTGATGAACTCTCCATCCCCAACTCCAGAGAGGATTAGAAAGACAGTCTTTCAGCTGTGTTGTCCAAGCCCTGTGGCCGTGCCTGGGTACTTGCAGGGCTGTGGCGTGTGTACTGAGAAGCCCTTCTGGGAGGGAGGCCTGGCCTCCACCTAGCTGGCAAGTCACTGAGCATCCATCTCCACCGTGGCTTTCTGTAGCCCCAAGTGCCAGCTAATGGGGTCAATGGAAACAATCTGCAGGCACCAGGAAACACATTGCTCTGAGGAGCCATGACAGCAGGAAAGGTGACCGAACAGCCCCATGGAGGCCGGCCTGGTTCGCATGCTGTTTGTTTGTGTAACTCAGGAATGTCGGCAGCACACCTGACTGGGCTCTCTGCAGCCAAGAGATAAAGACAGCAGATCATATGGCCACATCATCACTGCTAAAACTCCCACGCAAAGGAAAAAACAGCACCCAGCACTCACCAATGCCCAAGTGGAGCAGCGCAGCGAGTCTCACATGGGCAGAGAGCAGAGGTGCCCCACCAGGCACCGCAGTCCCTGTGGTCACCCACAGCTGAGAAGACCAAGGAGTCAGGGTGTACATTTCATTTCAAGGCCTCCTGCCATTTTCACTGGGAGCGTAAGATGAGTGAGACTGAACTGTGCCCCCTCCACTCTATTCCCACATTGAAGTCCTAACCCCAGGCAGCTGTGTTTGGAGAAAGGGTCTCCACAAAGGCCATCAAGCTCAGTGAAGTCATTTGGGGCCTGCCCCCAGCCTCAGGTGGCTATGCTTAGAGAGAGGATTTCTGCAGAGGCCATCAAGCTCATTGAGGTCATTCAGAAGGCTCCAATCCAACAGGTCAGATGTCCTCATAACAAAGGGACATTAGGACACAGAGGCAAGCATAGCAGGAAGATGATGTGGCAAGACGGGAAGATGGTATCCACACACCAGAAAGCGAGGAGGACAGACCTCCCTCAGGCCTTCACGGCCATGAGATGGTGAATTCCTGTTGCTAAAGCTGCCCTGTCTGTGATGCCCCATCATGGCAGCCCCAGGACACTAGCAAACAGGGCCATCTAATTTTACAACGTCCTAAGAAACTCTCCATGCACATAGCTGAAGCTGTATTCTGGTGACACTGCATCCCTCTTGATCTCAACAGTTCATCAAGTCCTACCACGAGTGACAGTGACCTCTGTCACCCATTAAAATGTATATCGTAATGTGGGGTACTTGTGGGATCGAGAGCTTGGAGAGTTAGCTTTGCAAGATTCTTATCCCTATTTATTTATTTATTATTTTTATTTTTTATTTTTTGAGTTGGAGTCTCACTCTGTTGCCCAGACTGGAGTGCAGTGGCCGCTCCCGGCCACCGCAGCCTCAACCTGCTGGGCTCCGGCGATCCTTCCGCCTCAGCCTTCCAAGTAGCCGAAACTACAGGCCCGCGCTACCACACCCGGCTGATTTTTTGATTTATTGCAGAGATGAGGTCTAGCTGCCCGGGCGGGTCTCGAACCCGCGGGCTCAGGCAATCCACTCACCTCAGCCACCCAAAGGCACGGGATTACAGGCTGAGCCACCGAGCCCGGCTCTTATCCCTATTTAAATGAAAGCTACACTGACATGAACATAAACAGTTCTTAAATCTTTCAAATGCCTCCAAATGGAATTTTTTTTTTAATGGCTGTAGAAAGGAGGTCTTGCTATGTTGCCTAGGTTGTTCTCTAACTCCTGTGCTCAAGTGATCCACTTGTCTCAGCCTCTCAAAGTGCCAGGATTACAGGTATGAGCCACCACACCTGGCCCAAATGGAATTTTTTTTCTTCTCGTTTGTGAACTAAATCCAGGTCCTGAGATACATTTGTCTGGATGATAACTGAATATTCCAGTCTCTCAAAGCTTCCAGTGTTGAAACCAAGAGCTAGGCCAGGCAGGTAAATGCGTCTGGGGCAAGACAAGAGAGAAGGCTAGCAGACTTGGTCTCTTGAAATCCCAACTGACTGCTTTTCTAAGCATTGTGCCAGTGGAAAGGTGGGCTCCCCATTCGACTGCTCAAAGAGTTACCAGCACCCACACCGTGTCTTTGTGTGCAGTATTTTCGAACTCCTGGGCACTCTTGTCTTGGCCTTCCAAAGTGCTGAGATTACAGGCATGAGCCACTGTACTCAGCAAAATTCTGTTTTTTTTTTTTTTTTTCTTTATTTTGTTGCAGGGTAAGTCCCAGAAGAAAAATTTAGTTTTTTTGGGGGGGACGGGGAGGGGTTCTAGCAAGTCACCTGTGGTTTCTGTGCCACATATGCTCCGGTGTATACAACATTCACTGTGCCACATATGCTCTGGTGGTGGCCAAAGGGAACTTGAGAGGGGCAGGGCAGGGACAGTTTCTGCAGGAACAACCTCACGAGGGCACTGCCTGCATGCTGCAGGTGCAGCTGAAACTGGCCCACCCTGTCCTGCCTCCAGACACCTCAGAGGGAGCAGGAAAAAAAACAGGAAAACACCAGCCCGGGCCCGAACAGCACACAGAGGTCCGAATGCGTCACAGACATCCCTTCCAGAGGACGTGGGCTCAGCCTGACGTCACAGGCCACCGGGCACGGCACTCTGTGGCCTATGTGGACATTTCCATGCCTCAGATAAAAGCCCTGGGGCAGGAGGCATCTGCCAGGGTTCATCAGAGGCCCACCTGCTGCGAGCGCTGTTTAGTTAAAAATAAAAACACTGGGCTGGGTAAGTGGGCCCGGTGGGGCCTGCAGTCCCCATGCCGGTGGTTAAAAGAAAAATGACAGCCCAGGACCCCGAGTGCAGTGCACGCCTGAGCTCCCCCAGCCAGGCTGTGCGTTCCTCGGGGAGCGGGAGGCCGTGTTGTTCTCCAAGCACCGTGAGCCGGCAGCCCCTCGGGGACTATGGAGTGAGGTCCCATCTGCGCCCAAAGCCCGACAGCAATTAAGATGGGAGGAAGGACGCGGGGAGGGCAGGCTGCACAAGAGGGCTGGAGGCTTGTTTACCAGAGGAGAGGCCAAGTGCGTGTGTTGTGAGCCTCATTATGGGCAGAGCTGGATCCCCCAGATGTCCTATGTGGAAGCCCTGACCCCAGAACCTGTGGGTGTGGCCTTATTAGAAGTAAATCTGTGCAGAGACCAAGTTAGAATGAGGCTATTCGAGGGTCCCCAGCCCAGCAGGACTGGCATCTGGATGCCAAAGTGCGCAGGGAGAGGAGGGACAGGCTGGGTGATAGTCTATGCACCACAGACACCAGGATCTGCAGCTGACTGTAAAACCCAGGGAGCCCCTGATCTCCCAGAAGAGCCCCCAACCCCTTGGTCATAATATCCAGTCTCTCCAGAGCCGTGGAGACCCATGCCTGAGCCCAACACAGCCCACCCACCACACCCCACGAGCTCACCTCATGTAGGCCGCGGGAGACAGGGACTTGGGCTTGGCCCACTGGTATGGTGGCTGAGGCACTGACAAGTACTGCTCACAGAAGGCGCCCTTCCGGATGTGCTGGAAGCCGGAGAAGTCCTCAGGTGTGAAGTCCACGGTGGGCGGTGGTGTCCCCAGCTCCTCCCCGGCAGGCTCCACCTTGAGCGCCACTGAAGGCGAAGGTTCTGGTGCTGTCTTGCGGGACTTGACTGGGACGCCATCACCCAGGTCGAGGCTGCCATCAGTGGTCAGGGCATTGATGGCTGCCACGATGGCTGAGCTGGTGTACTGGGTGGTGCTGCCCAGCCAGGTGTCGTCGGTCACGCTGACCCGTGGGGAACCATGCGGGGATGGTGCAGGTGAGAGGCGGGGCGAGCAGGGTGGCCGGCCGTTGAGGCTGTACTTGCGCTTGTTACAGGGGGACGTGGGCCGTGAGCTGCGTGCACCCAGCCAGCTCTCCTCAGTGACACTGGCACGGGGTGAGGTGGATGGGGAGTGCCGTGGTGAGCCCAGAAGCGTGCAGGCCCCCAGACCACGGGGGAAGCCATCCTCGGGGTCCGTGGTCTTGGGGGACACACAGGGTGACTGCCATGGGGACGTCTGTGGGGACGTATATGGGTAGGAGTAGTTGGACTCATAGGATGAGGCCTCAGAGTTGCAGCTGCGTGAGGACAGGCTGCTGGCCGGGCTGAGGCCCGAGGGGTCCCGGTAGGCCTCCAGGCCGGGCAGGCTCAGCGTGGCTGTGGCCGGGGACCGCCTGGAGTTGGGAATGACGTCCTCCACCTCCACATCGTGGAAGAATGGGGTGTTGTGGTGGTGCAGGCCCAGGTAAGAGGTGATCTCAATGCGGGGGCTCTCCAGAGCTGGGGCCCCATTGGGCCTGATGTTGCCAGAGGACAGGAAGTAACCCGAGGGCCCACCATCCACCGCTCCCCCATATCCCGTGGGGAGGCTTGTTGGCGGGATGGCTGAAATGCCCTGGGTGGAGGTCTGCAGGTCGTGGCACGGAGCTGGCAGGGAGGAGTGGGCCGTGGGCAGCGGCAGGGCAGGGCTGACGGTGGAGGACACATAGCTGTAGTGTTCTAGAAGGAGAAAGAAGAACACAAGGGCATGAGGGGCTGGGCTGCACACTGCACAGACCCATGGCTTAAGGTCCCTGGCACCGAGGGCCTGGTCGCGTGAAAGACCCAGCCCCCAAGTGACCTCTGTCACTGTCCCTGAGGCCGCCCTGCCCAATGGCTCCAGGTGACTCAGAGTGGCAGTCAGTCTTGCCTCCCACCAATAAGGTTCCCATGACTCTCCCCGCCCTCCTCTTCTCTGGGTGCCAGCGCAAGGCTCTTAATGTTTCCCACTGCTCCTAGGTCCTTCCTGAAGAGACACACAGCCAGTTCCCTTACTGTCTCCTGTTCTTGGCTCAAAACCTGCCTCCCCAAGCCCCCACCTTAACTCCAACCCCCTAACGCTCGAGTCTGTCTTCTGCTCTTGACACACGTCGTGACCTAATAACATGTACTTTGCACATTCATCTCATTCCTCATATCTTTGACCGACAGAAAACAAGTTTCATGAGGACAGGAAATTCTGCCTTCCTCAGTCTATTTGGTTCACTGCATCTTTCAGCATCCTGGACTGTGCCTGGCACATAAAATGTGTTTAATAGATGAAGGAATGGAAGAATGATGGAGGAATTATAATGGATGGATGACAGATAGACGAACGGATGATGGATAATGGAGAGATAGATAATGGATGGGTGGATAATGGAGGAATGATGGATGGGTGGATGATGAACTGTGATAGATGGATGGAAGAATGGATGATGGAGGGATGATGGAGGGATGGATGGTGGATAGGTGGGTGACGGAAGAATGACGGATGATGGAGGGATGGATGACAGATGGGTGGATGATGGATGATAAATGAATAATGGACAGATGAGGCATGGTAGAGAGAGGGTTGATGGAAGGATGATGGACAGATGGATGACGGAGGGAAGGGTTACAGTTGGTGGATGATGAATGGATAATGGGTAGATGATGGATGATAGAAGAATGATGGATGGTGGATGGATGAATGATGGAGGGATGACAGATAGACGATGGGTGAACGGATGATAGATGGATGATGGAGGGATGGATGATGGAGGGATGGATGATGGAGGGATGGATGATGGACGCTGGGTAGATGGATGGTAGACGAATGATGGATGAGTGGATGATAAATGGGTGGATGATGAAGGCATTATGAATGGATAGATGATGGATGCGTGGATGGGTGTTGGACGATGAATGATAGAGGAACGGATGATGGAGGGATGGATGATGAAGGGATGACAGAGTGATAGATGACTACATAATAGATGAAGGGATGAGGAGATGGATGAGTAAATAATGAATGGAGTAAGTGAGGGAGGGAGAGAGGGAAGTAGAGAAAAAGGAGAAGGAGGGCCCAGACACATAAATATATTGTAATAGGCTAACCACTGTCAAGGTGACCTAACTACCAGCTACAAACAACACACAAGGATTATATGAAAACATAGATTCTGGGATCCCTCCCATGCAGATTCTGATGCTGGTTCATTGCCTAGGAATCCATCTTTTAGAACAAAACAGATGATTCTGGTGCACAGCTAGACTTAAAAATCATTACATGTTAATTATACCTCAATGAAGTATTTTTCCAGTCATTATTAGTGTAATTAGCCATTTTCGGAGGAAAGACACTTCTGGGCTCTGACTTGAGGAGACTTTGCAGCACACCTCGGAAGCCCATTCCTGCAGCCTCCAGACGAGGATGCCCAAGCCTCTGAGGAATGGAAACAAGCACACAGAAACTCGAGATCCCTGTCCTGGGGCAAGTGCACCAGCTTAAGGATATTCTATTCAGGGACAGTGCAGTCCTGCTATATTGTTGGTTTAGAAACCAACAGGAATAAACAGGAAGAAAACCAAGGTCTCAATACACTGATTCAAACCCCACAGTGTTTACTAATAAATGGTTCCAGCAGTCAAGCAGGTGAGATCTATGTCCACTGCCACTCATGGCCAGACGAGGCCCCCAGCCACCCTCTGTGGCACCTGGCTCTCGTGACCTTTGCTGTGGGAAGTTCTTCCTCTGTCAGCTTGGAACCCCCAGTAAGACACAGTTTGCTATTCTCCAAATGGCCTTTCTTCCTGAAGGGGGGTGCCGGCCCTGCATGGGAGCCTGGGAGAGAACTCTCGGTGCCCCCTCCATCCCAGGCAGTCCCAGGTGCTCTGGGGAGACAGAACTGTGATGAGAAGGAGACAGAAGGGCTACAGAGAAGCACCTCAGAAACGTGGCCAGGGCTCCCAGGCAGGAATTGGGTACTCGCGGGACGCATGCCAGGAAGGGCCTCCAGCTTGGCCTGGACACCAGGGCAGCCCTGCCCAGGCCCAAGGCCACCTTCTAATCATCACAAGATGCTCCTTGAGAATCCAGGAGCAGCGGACCCACCCACACACTCTAGAGAGCTTCAGTGGCTGGCGAGATTGAGGACACCTCAGTTCCACAGGCTGTGAACTGGGATGGGGTGGCAGCCCCCATGCCCAAATCAGCCTGGCCCCAGTCAGGACATGGACAATCTCCAGATATGCTCCAGCCCCAAGATGCCAACCCTGGGACCGACGTGCCCACGGTCACATATACTGTGTCCTCCAAATCACATACTCATTGGACAATGTTAAAACATTAGGTTAAGTCTCTTTCATGCTCTCCCTAGAAAGTTATCCCTGAAGGAGATGTTGGGGTTCCTGAGGAGGGGGGCAGCCCCTAGGGGCTTAGGTCATCCGTGCTGGCCACCTGGGCCACACAGGGTCATGCTCCACGGGCTGCTAGGGTCCTCACACACACCGCCTTGGGCATCTCAGGCTCCTCCACCCATGTGCTCCCCCTGGCTGTACGCCCTAAAGCCATACCCCTGCGCCTGCCTACCTACAGGGCTTGTACCCTGCTAAAGGGCCCACCTCAGAGACGCACTGGTGCTGCAGCTGGACTCCTACCGGCTGGCAGGAAAGGGGAGCCATCAGCAGAGAAACGCGGGCTCCGCTGGCTGATGCCAGAGCCCATGGCTAGGCACAGGGTGCTGGGGGACAATCACTGAGGTTCTAGATGAAAGGGGAGACAGACCAAGGAAAAATGACAAGTTTCTGTGCAAAGCCTTCTTTGAGGACTGCAGTAGCAAGGGAGATTATGTGGGAGGCTCAAGTGGGGAGAACAGGAAGGAGAGAGACCTCGCCCCCCAGCAGGAAAACAGGGAGTGCCCCCAGCACAGACCCCAACACCCAGAGCACCGGCCTTTATAAAACCACAGTATTTCCATAAACCTGACCCAATGAGGAAAAGAACAACATAAGCCTCCGCTAAAAACGAAAGGCCCCAAGCAGGAGTTTTCTTAATTAGACAGATCACAGAGGAAGGCTCCCAGCCTGAGCCCTCTCCAGCTGAAAGACCTCGTCCCTTCCAGTTCTCTTCTTCCATTCCCTCTCAGAAGACCAGAAGCAGGTGCAGGCCACCACCTTGCCTCAGCGACCCAGACCTCTGGCACTGGGTCCTGTGTCCTGGCTGTGAGCCCACTCCCCTCCCCTAGCTCCTGCCCCCCACTCCTCCCCTCCCTCCTGAGCTCCCCCCTCTGGGGTGCAGAGTCTGGGGCACCTCTCTCCTACCCTTCCCTCTTTAAACCCCCTCCCCCACACCCCGTGCAGAGCCTGGGGCATCTCTCACCTTCCCCTCTCTCCTGAGCCCCCATCCAAAGACCCCCATGGGGTGCGGAGCCTGGGACACCCCTCCCCCACCCTTCTGAGCCCCCCACAAGGTGCAGTGTCTGGGGCATTTCTTCTCGCCTCCTCTCTCCTGAGCCCCTTCCCCCTCCCTCCTGAGGCCCCCTTCTGGGGTGCAGAGCCTTGGGCACCCCTCCCCTTCCCCTCCCTTCCTCCTCCCACGCAGCTTCCACTCCATTTGGTTTTATTACCCACCTAAACCATATTCAAATCTGAATTATTTAACTATTCAAAGGGATTATATTTACATGGAATGAAAATATTTCCACTGTCTTTCTCAAGGATCCCGAGATGCTGAGGCTGATTTATGTCACATTAGACGCTGCTAAAGACTCAGCACCCATTAGAGTCAGCGTGGCCAAGACCTGGCTGCTCGCCAAGGCGGGTTCGTTAAGTTATAGTCAGGTGTGCACAAAGCAAAGTGCTATTTTAAGCCAACGCGACGAAGGGGATATTCAACATTATTTAACACAATGAAATGTAACATGGGTGGGGCCCGTCCCTTAGGGTACATCATCCTCAGTCCCTGACCCTCACATTCAGGCACAGAGCGCCAGGCAAGGCAAAGATGGGCGCCCTGTGGGGCAGGTGGGTGCCCTGGGCCAGGCACTAGGGGCTCCTGGCTCACAAAGCCCACCTCCTAGGCTTGTCAGAGCATCTTGCCTCCCCTGAGGGACCCCGCCCCACCCCAGGGACTCCTACCCTTCCTCCTGAGCAACCCCTATCTCACCCAAGGAATTCACCTTTAGAGCTGCATTACTTTCTCAACAGTCACAAACAGAACCTGCCTGGGCCCCATGGTCAGGATGACAGTAGGGCGCACCACTGACCTACAGACCCCGCAGACCTGCCAGGCAGCCCTGGTCAGCAGCCAGTGCAGCCCACAGATGATGCTGCTCACAAGGCATGATGCAGACATGTCCTGACAAGAATCATGTCTCCGATCATGTTGCTCACCTGCCAGAACCCCGAGAGACAGGCCAGCGTGGTCCACCTTATTTATCACTCAGGGAATCTCCTTTTAGCATCTGCCTGGGCTGGTCCAGGACACGAGGCTGGTAACGGAACTGCACAGGCCCGTGCAGGCTGGCCCGATGCCAGCAGCCCCCACCCTTGCAAATAACCATAGAGTACCCCAGAGGCTTCCTCCTAAGCCTCTCCTGCCACACACCCTGAGCATCCACAGGCTCCAGGCTCCTCTGGCGAAAATGGAATTGTGTTCAAGTCTTTCACATCTTCATCTTTGCACAAATGTCTTCATTCCATGAGGAACCATCCGAGGCCACAGCAAGGCCCACAGGCCCTCAGGCAACGCCCCATGTGGAGGTTGGAGGCGGCCCTGGCTGCAGGGAGCTCCGGCCCAAACCCAGAGGCCTTGGCCCGTTTCCTCCAAGTTGCCACAGCGACAGGGCTGGCAGCGCCCAGGCCGCCAAAATAACTCAGAAAACAGGAGCCCCGGGGCGGGAAGCGGGCACCGCCTCCCAGCTGACAGAGCAGCTATTTCCTGAGCCAAAGAGAGCAGGGCCTCCTCTGCAGGGAAGCCCGCAGCCACTCCTGGGTGGAGACAGGAAGATGCCAGGCTCCCAACATAGGCACCGCCATCCTGCCCAGGCAAACGACAGCAAAATTCGCCTCTGCCCTCCCAACAAATGGTTGCCGAACACCCAGTGTTTGTACCTGGTGAGCACTTTACAACAAAGAACCACAGACTCCAGTCCTCCCTGCAGGCCTCCTCAAGACGGAGACCAGGGCAGCAGGAGGCCTGAACCTCCTTGAGATGGAAGCTTGGACAGCAAAAGGCCTGGGCCTCCTTGAGATAAGCCTTCGGTGGCAGGAAGCCTGAGCTTCCACAGAACCGAGGACTGAGTAGCAGGAGGCCTGAGACTCCTCAAGATGGAGGCCCCGGGCAGCGAGGCCTGAGCAGGAGAAGCTGGAACCCAGGAGGTGCCACTTCACATAAAACCAGTTCAGATAAGACTGTCAGATGCCGACAGGACCCACTCACTTCAGAATGATCTGTAAATGGGGTCCCAGCCAGGCAGGCCAGGACTCCCACCCACAATGGTCCCTATGTCTTAGTCCTAGCACGGGGACCCCGGCCTTGACTTGCCAGGGTGGTGACCCCTTGATGGGGACTTGGCCACAGACTGCCTCATGCACTCGGGGCTGGTCACACCTTTCTGACCAAGCTCAAGTCTCGGTGCTCAGGACAATCTAGACCTCAGCACTGCCATCCACCATCGAGCTCAGGATTATGTGTTCACGTATTATGTTCTATCCAGGCTCACTCCAGAAACCAGGTGACACAGTGTTGATCACCCACCAAGGGCTGCAGAATTTGGTGTAATAATCTAATAAAATGTATATAATCTAAATGGAATACAGTAATAATGATAATAAAAAGGATGGGGTAAAAACATGGATGTCTCCCCCCCAAAAGCAATACATGTATATATGTTGTATAAGAGGTGCATTTCCTAGCAGCTTCTTCCTGATACCATAGAAAGGGGGAAGGTGCTTCCCTGCTTGGGCCTCCCCAGCCCTCTCCAGTCACTAAATCTCATGCCTAGAACTACATGTGGACAACAGCCACAAGACCAACTCAGGTGCCCACCTAGTAGGAGGGGTAAGGAAATGTGGTCTGGATACACACCGGGGAATACTACACAGCCATAAAGAAGAAAGAAATCACGACTTCTGCAGCAACGTAGATGCAGCTGAAGGCCATCATTTTAGGTGAACTATCTCAGAACCGGGAGCCCAGATATTGCATGTTCTCACCCGTGAATGAGTGATAAATGCTGGGTACATGGACACAAGGATGGAACAACAGATACTGGAGACTCCCAAATGGGGGAGGGAAGGGTTAGAATTGAAAACACTCCCTAAGCACCATGTCCACCACCTGGGGGATGGGCTCAAGAGAAGCCCAAAACCCCAGCATCAGGCAAAACACCCATGTAACGGAGCTGCCCATGGGCCCTGAGTCTAAAATCTTAAGAACTAGGATTACATGTTAAAAAAAAAAAAATCACAGAAAGATCTGGTGATGCCACTTGTGTCCCACTGCTGTTATCAGCAGGGGCCCAAGCCCGAGCCTGCACCAAGCCAGACACACCTATCACAGCACAGCCATCCTTGAGGCCCCACAGAACCAGCTCCTGGGTGACTGCCTGATCTTTGGGGTGACTGCCCAAACCACGAACAACCAGGCAAGCCACTGGTGCCCCGGCCCCAACAGGAGCTGCCAGGGGCCATCGAAATGGACCAGGCTCAAGGTTCGTAGGTCTAGGACCAACTTCCACCACATAAAAAGTTAGGAATAGGGTCCTTACTTCCAGGTAACAACTCCTGTTAATATTTGCTAAATGCATGAAAGGGGGGTGAATTAAAGGTGGAAAGTGCTTCTGATGAAACCCACTGGCTTCAGAATCAAAGCACAGGAAAGAGTCCAGAAAGGCCTAGCACATTGCCATGCTGCCATGGGAGGCAGGACACACTGCCACAGTGCCACGGGAAAGCCCAGCACACTGCCACAGGCAGATGGGCCACACTGCCACAGGAAAGCCAAGCACACTGCCATGCTGCCACAGGAAGGTCCAGCACACCGCCATGGAAAGGCCCAGTACGCTGCCACAGGCAGACAAACCACACTGCCGCGGGAAGGCCCAGAACACTGCTAGTCACAGACAGGCCACACTGCCACAGAAGGCAGGGCACACTGCCACACCACCACAGGAAGGCGGGGCACACTGCTACTCTGCCACGCTTCCACAGGAAGGTCCGGCACACTGCCACGGACAGCTAGACCTGAAGCTGGAATACAGCAAGTGCCTTCACTTCTTCCCAGCAACCACTGCTTGTTCCCCCCCTCACCTGCCTTGGCTCCCACTGACCCCAGAGACCTGGAACCCATGGCCAGGGAATGAGAGAAAAACGAACCTTCAGAGGAGACCTGTGGGGAGTGACGGATACTGACTGATCAGGCTGCGACGGCCTGGCTGGAAGACTTATTTCCAAAAATGAACAAGACACTGGACTCAAGAAGAGGGAAGAGAATCCTATGGAAATGATGATCCAATCACTACAGAAACGGACAGCCTTCTAGGCCAGCGGCCTGCTAGGGCAGGGACAGAAGGAACACTTCGAACACTGGCCTAGGAGGGAGGCAGGCAGTGGAAGGAACAAGGTTTGCAGTGTGGAAAAGAGGAGACATGTGGGTGAAGGGCAGAGGCCCCACCAGAAGCTGCATCAGCATCCAGGAGCTCTTACCACTGTTCAAGCTTCCCG